TGCAGCCTTGAGAGCGAACCGTCGTTTAGTCCCGGGAGGCAGTTCCTCCTCAGATTTTTGGAGGCGAAGCTGCATGGGGAGGATGGGCACCGCTGCCAGTCATTAAAAGCGTACAGGCCAGGTAGAAACGGCCCTCGGGGGACCCCTGGTCTGGCTGGGCGTACTTTTGCTCGGCCTGTGAAATGTCACCGCGCCATGAGACCCTGCTGTTTCCACTTATGAAAATGCCGCCATTTCAGATTTCTGTCTTTGGAGAAAAGTCTGTCCCGTTGTAAATCTATGGCTTGTAGAGGAGATGTGAGTGGAGGGGGCCTGGGGGCCACAAGGGGCAGGTTGCCCCATACCTGAAGTGGTGATCGGTGTGTGTGGGGGGGAAGAGATCGCCACGTGGGCCACTCCTGGAGGGGGGTCCCCGGTGCCCCTCTCTTTTCCGGCAATCCCACACAATGATAGGCAGGGAGAGGCACCCCAGCCCAGCCTCAGTCCATGGCTAAGCGTCTTTGGTCCGGCTGCTGGGCGGCTGCTTCAGCCGGGAGCAGGCGGGAGGTTTGCTGTCAGGGAGGCGGCTCTTAGGCCAGGGGCCTTTTCCTGGTGGAATGGGGGGGGGGCTTGCCTTTGCAGCCTTGAGAGCGAACCCTCCTTTAGTCCCGGGAGGTGGTTCCTCCTCAGATTTTTGGAAGCGAATCTGCATGGGGAGGATGGGATCAGGGTGTCTCTCTCTCTCTCTCTCTCTCTCTTTCTGGGGCAAGAGAGAGATGACTTTTGGGTGCCTTCTGGCCGTGTGGTTCTGCCTTGAGAAAAGTCTCTCTCCTCTCTCTCTCTCTCTCTCTCTCTCTCTGTCTTTTGCTCGTTTCAGCACCAGAAATCGTGAACTACGAGCCTCTTGGGCTGGCCGCCGACATGTGGTGAGACGTTGGCCTCCCCGCTTTCGGGTCCCCTTGTAAGGCCACGGCTGGCTTCTCCGCTTTCTGTGGCTCCCGGGGCCCCCCCAGCCCACCCCCCCCCCTCTGCCTGCAGGTCAGGACCAGAGACTCGGCTGCCCCCACCCCCAAGGAAGGAGTCAGGGTGGATGCTGCTCTCACCCGCTAAGACACCCCCCCCCCAGGCCAAGAATGGCTTCTTCTCAGCGACTGAGATTTATGCCAATTCACTTAAGGCTGGCTGGTTGGCAGGAGGGACCTCAGGATGCCGGCTTGGGCTTTGTGTCTTTTAAAAGCACCTTTTATTTAAATTTGCAAAGATTGAAACTGGCTTCCTCTTTTGTAATATACTGTGTAGCCTTTAGATGCCAGGCTAAGCACTGCCTTGTCCAGCTGGCAATTTTTAAAATGTAATTTAATTTATTTTATTTTACTTGGCCAAATCCGACATTATCTTTTCACTTTCCTTTTGTATATAGAAATAAATGGTATTGAAAGTGACCCCCTCCTATCTTCTTTTCTTTTTCCTCCAGGAGCATAGGAGTAATCACTTACATATTGTAAGTACTAAATCATGCATTTGTTCCTTTATTCCTTGCGCTTATTTCTTATGGTGTGCATTGCCTTTGATCCCTTTTAAGCAGACTAACCTCGGCTGGGGCTCGTGAAATAAAGAGGCCAGCTGGACCCATAGGGAAAGAGTAATCCGCCCATAAAGGGGCCGGCAGGCAGTGTCTTTAGGGGAGCCTAGAGATAAGACCAGAATGGCATCACCGGGGATGGCCAGAGGTGGGCTCAAGGCAGCCCCCCCCCCAGAGTTGCAGTCTTGCTTTACCTGCCCCAAAAGTGGAGGTTTACGGGCAAGACGGGGCTGGGATGAATGGGGAGGTTGAACCAATGAATGGAGATTGACCAATGATGAATAAGAAGGAGCGAGGTGGTGAGGACGGGCTGTGCAGCTTGCCCAAGGCGACACAGGCTGGCTCTACTCACAGGGAGGCCCAGTGCGCAATCAGGCACTTATGACCTCTGCCTCCGCAGCCAGAGACCTAACTCACTGAGCTATCCAGCCAGCTAGCGATGGCATAAAAGGCGCATCGTTCTAGGACTGCAGAAAAGAGTTGCCAATGCAAATCTTGAATAATTTAAAGACAAAGCTTAAATACGGGAGGCGATAAAAATAGTCTCCCTTAAAAGAGGAGAAAGCCCTTGACCCTTGGACGGCTTTTACTTTTTATCTTGATTTCATGGCTCAGCATTCCTCTTTTGAGACTGACAAAAAGTGCTTCAACACCATCTTTTTTTAAAACAAGGGTTAAACAGAGGATGCCCATAACACTGAAGGACGCCGGGGAAGGCAAGCTGTCCCTCCCTGGTTAAATACGGATTGCTGAATCCTGGTTTTATTCTTGGCAGGCCTGCCTTAGATGTGGGGTACATGATCCCGATAGCTGAACCATCAGGAAAACACTCAGCACCACTAAAAGCTTCAACTCTCTTGCCCTGAAAGATTTTAACAAAGGCTCTAGATGGGAAGGGGGGGGGAGGACCAAGATGTTTGCGGGCCGAAGGGCAAAACTAGACAAGTTGCCAGCTTTGCAATTAGAAGGTGATCGCACATTATCTGTCCAAAGACTCCATCCTTCAAAGCTGCATGGTCAGCCTGTGATTGTTTCTCCCTGAGAAACCGTTAGCCTTGGATGTCAATTAAACAAAGGTTAACCTCTTATGGGACCCCTTCTAAAATGATGGCCTGAGGGTAGCCCCTGTTTTGATCCCAAGACAGGAAGTCCAAATGGTGCTTCCACCCCAGGAATTGACATGGCCCCCTACGACGGGGAAGGTCTCCCATGTAAGCCTGCTTGAAATGGACGGGAATGATGCTTTGAACGACCCTCTTCTCTCCTTCCCTGCTGACACTTTTTATTCCAACGTGACTGTATAACCAAGCAAATATATCAAGAGCACAGCTTTTTCCGTTGCTGTTTAAAGAATTGGGCAAAAAAAGGCGAAGGCAGGGGTTCCTTTTCCTCTGGGATCAAGGGCGAGAGCCTCTCCCTTCTCCCCAGCTCCGGTGCGTGGCCCGTTCTCCTCCTCCCGGGGTGGCCACCTCCTCCCCCTCAGTCTCCTCTCTTTTCTGGCCTCCCTCCAGGCTCAGTGGCGCCTCACCCTTCCTCGGCGAGACCAAGCAGGAGACGCTGGCCAACATCACGGCGGTCAACTACGACTTCGACGAGGAGTTCTTTAGCCACACCAGCGCCCTGGCTAAAGATTTTATCCGGAAACTTCTGGTGAAAGATACCCGGTGAGTGGCAAAGGGTTCCACTGCTTAGAGGGGGACACACGTCCCTGAACGCCCCTGGCCCAGACGGATTTCAGAGAAGTTAAAGGGAACCAGGCCTAGCGAGCCCCCCTCCCAATCCTTAACAAGCCTGATCAAAGATGCTCGTTACCGGCACCTCTTTCCTAGAAAGGGACATTCCTTCAATGAAGCGCTTTTGTCTCACTGTAGCAAACGTCTGACCATCCAAGAAGCTCTCTCTCATCCCTGGATCACGGTAAGTGTGAAAACGGAGCATGTGTTTCATGGGGGTGGGGGTGGGGAGGAGGGAGAGAGGTCTTTAATTTGTACTGAAGTCGGACAGAACTTTGTATGGAATTTCATGCTCAGGCACAGAAAAGCCCTCACTCGCTTTTGCAGATCTAGTTTTAACCAGTGCAGGAGTGTGGCAGAGAGAGGCCTTTTGAGCCACCTGTCCTTCTGCTCTCCCATGGCGTCAGTCTCTTTGATGAAGGGAAAGACTGGCAAAATATACTGTATTCCAAATATCTGAACGAAACGTACACAGTCACATGTGTTGGCTTTCTTTTCTTAAAAAAGGGGGGGATTTCTTCTCTAAAGCAAGAGATGAGCAGGATTCAGTTTGATCTGGAGACGCACAGGGCCAAGCCTACAAGTTTCTGTCCTGGATCACAGTGTGCGAGGGGGGGCCGTCGGCTCCTTGCACGGGACCGACGGAGACCATATTCCCCTTGTGTTTGGTTTGGTTTGGTTTGGCTCTCTCTGTTGTGAACTTCTTCCCTCTGAACTGTAGGAGGTTGTAAGCGGGCACTCGGAGGAGGTTGTTCCCCATTTGTTTTCTGGGGTAATCATGGAGGGAAGAAGTACTCAATGGCTTGTACTCACCACGGGGTGTTGGTGTTGGTGTCTGTGGTGGCCTGTTGCATAAAAGTGTTGTGCATGTCCTACATTTGCCAGAGTTTCAACTTTCATATGAGCATGTTGATGTTTCTGGATTCTCTTTTATTTTTTTTCTATCTTAACTAAAAATTTGGAGGTATTTTAGTGGATATTGTCAGTCCATGATATACAGTGATCAGCATTCCAGCGGTACCGATCCTTCAAAAGGGGAAATCACAAATATTTTGGACGTGGCTGAGAGCCAAAATGATGTTTCTCCTTCCCTTCTACAAGCGAAACCCAATATTCGCCAAATCTCAGGATTCTACTTCGATCCATAATATCCATCTAGCATGAACAAGTGTTGCTGTGTTTTTTCATTGTTGTAGTCTGGCAAATGTTGGCACCTTGTTTTCCTTATAGAACGAAGTCACAGTCTTTACGGGTGAGCTCACCAACTTTTAAAAATAGATCAATTCCACGCATGAAGAGGGAAAGCCTCTTTGTTGTCTCCCAGCATCCTGGACCTGTGTGTGTGTGTGTGTGTGTGTTGTGGCATCCCTTTGGCGTGGTGTGGTGTTCTTGGTGTTGTTGTGTCTATAGGAACACTTGGCCAGTGGCTGGCGGTAAATCATAGTAACTTCCTGCTTCTGTCTGAAGACTCACCAACCCAAAGAAGAAACAAAAGTCCAAGAAACCAAGAGGGCCGAGAACAGCCAGTTGAAGACCAAGCGGCTGAAGGAATACACCATCAAGTGCCACTCCAGTATGCCGCCAAACAACACCTACGTCAACTTTGAGCGTTTTGCCCGGGTGGTAGAGGACCTCTCTGGGATGGAGCAGAGCTTCGGGGCTCTGGCGGCCTCCCACGATTCTCTGCAGGAGGACATGGACGCCTTGGTCTCCATCTACAACGAGAAAGAAGCTTGGTACAGAGAAGAGCATGAGAACGTGAGGCATGAGCTCTCCCAGCTGAAGTATGAGTATCGCAAGGTCGAATCCTTGAAGAAGCATCTCCAGGAGGACATCGGAGCGGTCGGGACCAGCCTGGCCGGCGTCACGGGGAAGTACCTGGACCTGCAGTCCCGTTTCGAGGCCTTGAGCCAAGGGCTGTCCGAAGGGCTCCGGTGGGTCCAGGACCTGGCCGGCAGCTTTCAGCGCGAAGGCGGAAGCGAAGCCTTCACTGCCGAAAGCATGGGGTGCATCTTCAACAAGGACCTCAACGGCTCTCTCATGGAGCTGCTGAATAGGTCGTGCTGCGAGGAATTCCTAGCTGCCTTGAACTCGGGTGTTGCAAAATCAGCTCAATAACACACACACACACACACACCCCAGCTTGGGTTGTACGTAGGCTTTCCTGTCTTGATGTTGCCTGTCTGGGGTCAAACAGAGATGATGGTGAGAGGAACTGGCCACCGCCTCAAGACCTAGAGAGTAAACCTGTCTTATTTTGGGGCCTGCATCTTTGTTAGCTGCTCGTGATGGTCAGGGTTCTGCACTCGATGAAAATGCGCAGCTGTCGCAGTGGACTTTTATCAGGAAAACTCTTTCAGGGTGTGAAGGTTGCCAGTTAGGAGCTCATGGGAAACGGAATGGCCCAGACAGATTGTTCTTTTTTTCCAGAGGAAGCCTGCATTTTTGCCACTGTATTTTGAAAATGCCATTATCTTATGGTTACCACGGAATGTCTCCTAAATACTTTTGACTGTAGGTAGTTAGAAGTGTTGAAATGTCTTGAAAATATGTTGAAGGTCAGCAGGAAGGATGCCTTGATTTTGCGACTCGACCTGGAAATGCTTTTCCCCAAGGAAGGGTTCAAGAGGCACCGAGGCCTTGCAGTGCTGAAGGCTCTCTGCCATCCTGGCTACCGTCGCTTAAGACAGTAGCAGGCATTTCAGCGGAGAGACAGGTGACACCATGAAGAGGTTCGGGAATAACTGCAGCACTCCGTAGGAGTCAGTGAGAGTCAGTGCCTTGATGAGTGAAAATATGCAGGGAAGTGTGAAAAGCCTCGCCGTTCGTCCCCCGCTTCCAAGAAACAAATGAACGAACCCGAATCAATGGGGGCCAGACCGTGGTATCCTGCTCTGTTTTTGACACTGATTTTCAAAAAGTGTTTGTGAGAGTTTTATCACTGAATTGCGCCTTATTGTCTGTACCTTTTGGGTTTGAAGGATTGAGGAGTGTTGTTGCCTCCAAATCTGTAACTGATCTTGCACTTAAAGAGCCAATAAATGTTTATTGGATACCCCGTGGCTTCTGGAAGCGCCCTCTGGAAGTGCGCTCCCTAAAAGGGTGGCTCCAGTAAGGCCCAGGAGGTTTTTTTGTTATTGCTCGCAAGTAGACCTGCTGTTGCTTAGAAATAAAGGCCGGTCTTTACCTCTCAATATATCGAATCCAAAAGGCAAGGAAGCATGGCGGGGCCCCAAAGCCCCAGCATAAGTAGGATCTTCCTGTTTTTTCCCCCCTTAAAAGGAAGGAAGGGTTGCTGAATAAGGAACCAGTTTTGAGAACCTCCCAAATGGGGAAATGATTAGGGTTGAGGAACTTGTCATCTTGCTTTACGTCACCTGTAAAGGCTTTGCCCCTGCCGTCCGTGGAAATGGCTTCCACCTTTGAGAGCGGTGGTTCTCAACTGTGGGTCACCCCAGGCGTTCTTGGACTGCAACTCCCAGAAATCCTGGCCAGCTCAGCCTGGTGGTGAAAAGGCTCCTGGAAATTACAGTCCCAGAACATCTGGGGGTCCGTGGTTGGAACTGCTGCTTTTACAGCAGTTCAGCTCCTGAAAGCCCCCCCCCCCCGGGCAGCCCATGGGTGGGAATTCTTTGGAGGGCAGAAGTCCAAGACAGCTGGAAGACGAGAGGTTGGAAACCACTGGCCTAAAGGACGAGGATTCTCCAGCCTGGGCATGTTGCCCCCCAGGGTCCTTCTGAGATGGTCTCTCGATTTGCTGAATTTTTCTCAGGGCTCACAAGTCGGTTGAACCTGGTACTGAAGCCAGTTTAGAATGAAAACACAGAAGCGCCCTGTGGAGAAGGAAGGAAGAAATAACATGACTGTCGAGAGAGGGTCTAGAAGATCAACAACATGCTCATCATCCCACTGGGATTCTGATGCTTGGATGATCATGAGAAGCCACTTGGCTTCTTGTTTTTCATAGCTGCGCAGCGCACCACCCACAGATCAAGGGGATAGGTTCCTGCCCCAAGGAGCTTACAGTGTAAAATTTCAGACCAGGGAAACAGAGGCAGGGAAAGGGGGCAGAAGGGCCAGGAATCAACAGGAACGTGAAAGGTGCACCCTCCGTTTTTCTGATCAGCTGAGTCGCCGGAGGTTAAAGGCCTCTACAGAAAAGATGGGTTTCGAAGAGGGATTTGAAGGCAGCAGGACATCAGTCGCCCAGCGGCTTTGCAGGGAAGTTCTACACCTACGGAGAAGCACGAGGGGGGGGGGGAATGGAAATGCCAAGTCTTTTGAAAGCCTTCAAAAAGATTTAAATTCCTGGAATGAAAATAGCTTCCAGACTGGTGTGCGGGTGGTATTTTAACCGGTTTGCTTTCCTTTCTACGTTTAGTCATCTTCCTAGGAAAAAGCAAGGTAAGTACTCTTAAGACCTGTATAAATTCCCCAAACTGGGCACCTTAAATAAGCGGCCCAGATTCCAAGGACACCCCATGCTGCCCAGTGGCTGAGGCTTGTACTTTGGGGGTGCCAACCTCCCCCGGGAGGTCGTCTCAGCAGAGAAGAAAGCTGACTTGCCGAAGCTTTGAAGGGCACAAGACACGCACCTGCCATCTTCCAGACGGACGGACGAGCCCGGGGGAGCCGCATAGCGCTGACCTTGTAACTTCTTGTCTCCCAGCCGACGGACAAGCGGCAGGTCCTGGTGAGGCGGGAGTCGGTCGTGAACTTGGAGAACTTCAAGAAGCAATATGCCCGGAGGCGTTGGAAGGTGACGTATGTGGCCTGTGGCTTCTGACCCGCAAGGGAAACGGCTACGTTGGAGGGAGAGCAGTGGCACAGACAGCTGGCTTGGGTGGGGATGGGCCCCCCACATGTCTTCCGGGGGAATTTAGAGCAGAGTGGGGGTCAACTGGGACAGTGACACCCAGACTCCAGGGGTCTCCGGGCAGGAAATTCTTTCAACGCCCGCCTGATTCTGTGGGTTTGTAGGGACAGTGGTGTCTCCTGTGGAACATGCCAAGCTCCCCACCCCCGGGCTGCATTGCCACTTCCAAACCTGGCCACGGGTGCAGCCTTTGATGCGCCAACCTGTCTTTTGGGTGGGGCAGGGAGGCCGAGACATGCTGGTGGGAGGATGCCAGTCCTGGTGCTTCAAGCTGGGTGACCAGAGTGCTTTTTCTCTCCCCCCCCCCAACCCCCTCCAGCTCACCTACAGCATCGTCGCTCTGTGCAACCACTTGTCGCGTTCGTTGGTGAGAAAGGTCCACCTGATGCAAAGTGAAACTTTGGTGAGTAGGTTGCGCTCAAGGGAAAGGGGGACGTTTGCTGGCCGGGCTCTTCCTTCTGCCTAGAGCTCGGGTGGGTGGCCCAAATGGAGGTTCCTCCTGCCCCTCCATCGTGGGTCCTTTGCGGTAGCCCAAGGGTTCCAGAGAGAGGGGATGGGGCTTCAGAAGCTGGGAGCCTCCGCTCGTGGAGTCTTTGGTGCCGATCCAATTTCAGTGAGCCTCGTCGAGAAGGTGCCACCGCAGGCCAGGGCGTATGGGCGAGGGCCTCGGGGCAGAGGGGTCGATGGTGAGTGTTGTGCCTGGAGAGGAGGGGGTCTGGCCGGGCGGGTGTGGAGAAGAAGCCCACGAGGAAGGTGGAGGTCCCACAGCCTCTCTCTCTCTCTGTTCCAGCGCAATTGTGACAGTGACCACGAGGAAGACCTTGTGAACCCACTGGCGCCACCTCACCCTCTCTTGAGGAGGAGAAGCAGCATCTCCTAAGGTGCTTGCCGGACACGGGGACTGGGCTGGAACCCAGAAGGCCTTAGAACGCAGCTCCTGCCCTCTTGAACCGTGGGGTCCGGGGCCTTTTCTTCTTCAATCCCCCCCCAAGGCTTAATGCATAAACCTCAAGCCTCACGCAGGGAAAGAGTCTGGAGGTGGGAAGGAACCACGGTGACCCCCAGACCTCTGGGACTGTGCGGGAACGTTCTGTGCCGGAAGCCCAGGACTGGAGCAGACGGGGGGCCTCCGAACTCCGGAAAGACAAAACAGACAGCCGGGGCTTCCGTTGTATTGTGAGAGGGAGGCATCTGAGTAACGGCAGGTGAGACTGCAGGCCACCTGCGCTGAGGGCAGGAAGGCCAACAGCTGCCATGGGCTGACTCCTTCCGGGCCTACAGAACTTTCCAGCTTTTCTCTTCAGAGGCCACAAAGGGAAGACTGGGCGGTGCCTCTTCCCGCTCTTGGTAAAAACTGCCTTCGCAGGTTGCAAGGAGGTGCTTCTCGCTGGGAGGCTTTGCACGGCTTGGGACTCCATTTGGTAGGGGGGCGGCAGAGAGCCTTGTGCTGGGGGGGGGTCCTGGCGCTCCCGACGGGTGGGTGGCACTTCCTGGGCATTTGGATGCGAGCCCTGGTGAGTTCAGGAGATGCTCGCTCCCGAGTAAGAGTGGCCACCGAAACAGGGCAAGCGAGTCTGGGATCTGAAAAAGCCAAAGGCTCCTATGGACGCCCGTCCTTCTCCACCTGGTACGGGGATGGTGGGGGTTGTAGTCCGTGGCCTCTGGAGGGCACAGGATGGAGAAGCCCAGCTTGCCCTCTACGCTGCAATATAAAGTGTGCAGAATTTGTCCGTGGGATGGTTGCACAAGAGCAGTGAAACGTCCGGGTAAGGGACCCGCTCATTTCCCTGAGGTATTTTTCCAGCCTCTTGTCTGCACTCGCTTTTCCTTTCAGCTTATGTGGACCCAGCCACACCATCGGGTGAGCCGGCCCACACGCCCGGCTGCTCCCTCCGTGTTCGAAACAACCCTGTGCTTGGTGAAAGTGTTCTGCTCGTGTTCTCTGGTATAATTTTACCTGCGGCTGCGACCAAAGCCTGCCATCAAGCTTGCTTGAGCTTCACCCCATTGCCTGTCCTGGTGGGATTCAGCCCCGATGGATGTAGCGGGGTTTTCTTTTGTGGGAGTGTCGTGCTCCTCAAGCGGAGGCTGTGTGGTCTTCGCAGGCTCTCGTGTGTGGACTCCTGTTCTCTCTCTGTAACTATTTGATAATTCACTACCTCTTTTTCTTCTGTACAGTCTATTACCCTCTCTCCGTCGAATTGACCCTTGAAGTTGAGGAGCCTTGTTCAAAATAAGGAAAGCGACGTCTTTGTTCTGGTGTGTTTGGGGTTTAGGGTAACAGAGCCCATCTCAAATGCACAGCGATCTGAGAACTGTCTCGAAGATCCGCGCGGAGGGTCAACCCCTCGGGGCTAGAGTCGGCCGCTCACCTCTGAGACAATCTGCTGAGGTGGCTTGGTTGCCATCAAAGGGCCACACCATCGTGGCTCTGCGGAAGCACTTTGGGAGGCTCTTGGTTTAGGGCTTGCCGTGGCCAGGGGAGAGGGGAGGCAGGATTAGACCCCTCACTGCTTGTGGGTAGTTAAAAAAAAGAGGAAGCTTTGGAACTCTATTCCAAAATGTAATTTTTAAAAAAAGAGCCTGTGCAATATGTCATTGAAATGCAATTTAAAAGAGACCTCCTTGTTCCAGCCCGGCTTCCTGTCGCCCTACTGTTTTGAATCATTTATCCAGCCAGCCGCATAGGCTGTAACCTGGATAGCTCCAGAGGGAGTGACCTCTCCCATAATTTGTCATCTGATCCTTACAAAGAACCCCTCTCTCACACAAAACCCCAACTAGAGATGCTTCCAGCTTGGAACCGAGGCAGGTTTTCCACCTGGGCGCTGTGATGGCAGATGACTCGGGGCCTCGCTTGCCCTCCTCTTGGATACCGCCATCATCTTGTTCCATGTGTGAGAAAGATGGAAGGAACCCAGCTATCGAGCCACCTCCTGGCATTTTGCCACTCGGAAATGCTGCAGTGCAACTTGGCGTGCCCAAGACATCTCGGCCTCTTCTGGTCAAAAAGCTGCCCTTCGCCTGAAGCTTTCAGAGGGAGGGATATAGACTCACAAAAAATCCTGCCCGGAGATGACTAGCTGTGACGGTTGTATAGAACCTCCAGTGTCTGAGGCAGCCTACCCCTCCACCACAGACCCAGTGGTAATAATGTTCATTGATGTCTGGCTGTCCACGCAGAGGAAACAGGATACTGGAAGTTGGCTCTGATCCGAAAAGTACCTGCCCTTAAAGGTGGTCCCAGCGGCTCTCCTTGCTGGATGAACCTGGAAACAAGGCATTACAAGAGAGGAACCCCCTCCAAGCTGGACCCCTCCAAGCTGAACCCACGCCTCAGGTCACGCGCCCCTGCCCCAGGGTGCCTGGCTCTGTTTAGCACCCATCGTCCCCGTGCTGCAAACGCACAGGAAAATCAGAAGTGCTGCAAACGCACAGGGGGATCTCCCTCCGTGCCCCCCTGGCACTGACTGCCCCAGAGAGCCCCAGCATGCTTCCAGGCAGGGTGAAGACTCCAGGCCCCATGGCTCTTCCTCCCCCCCCCGAAAGCTCCCGTGGGTCTTCCTGCCGAGGTGGGCTTTGGCTTGGGGGGCGGGCCCCCGCTGTACTGCGGGGGGGGGGCGGCAGCAGCTCCTCCTCCTTGATCCTCCCAATTCCCTAACACAGTTGCAGGGGACTCTGTGTGTGTGTGGTCCCCTGTGGCCTCACCCCCTTCCGCCTCTGTAGCGGACAGCCCCACCCTCACCTGTTCTTGGCTTTGGTGCGGCTGGACTGCTCCTCTCCTGGCCCTCCCACATCTGGGCAGCCAGCGAGTAAGGAAGCAAGTGGGAGCTGGCCGGAGGCTCCTCCCGGCTCTTGCAGGCTCTCTCTCACAGGCGGGCTCTCCACGGGGCTCTCAGCAGCTGGACAGCTACTCGGCCGCTGGCTGGCAGGCGGCAAGCTCCTTTCCTCCGCTCTCGGGAAGCTGTTCCTGCCCCTGAGAAAGCAAGTCTCTGTGTACCTGGCGGCCAGATGGTGCATCCCGGCCTCGCCTTGTGCAAGACAGGCAGGTGGAGAACGGCTGGATGGGAGGCGGGCATTTCTTTGCCTCTTTCTGGAGGCTGTTCTTGACCTCCGGCGGCCCCTTCCTTCCTGTCCTCTTCTTGTTTGACTTTCCCAGCTGGGTTGTCCCGAAGGGGTTTCTGTCACGCCCCCCCCCCTTTCAGGCAGATACCTTCCATCCGGTTGAATCCTGCTTCGCTTCCATCTCGTCTTGCAACCTTCTTATCCCACATTTCCTCCAAGGAGCTGAAAGGGGAGCGTCGGCGGGCTCCTTCCCTCACCCCTGCGAGGTAGGAGAGGCGGAAGAGCCTCTGACGGGCTGTTGTGGGCGCCCCAGAGGGGGCTGCCTGTGCCTGGATGGGACAGCCGTGTCCTTGGGGGGGGACCCCTGAAGTTTTGGAGGAGAGCAGACCTTTTGCAGCCAGGCGTGTGCTGTTGTTTGTATATGTCTTTTAAAAAGTATATGCCATGTTGAAGACTCATTAAACAAATTAACAACAAATGTCCCAGAGGGGTAGCTGTGTTACTCTTGGGCAGCCAAACCAAGGGCGTCTTTGTAATCTTAAAGAAAACTAACAGAGGGCTGGAGGGTGAACGCCGCTTTCGTGGGCTGGAATTCATCCTGGCTGAGTGCTGTGCTGCTAGATCTCATGGTTACAAAGGCAAACACGGCAGGCAAACATGCCTTGCGAGCTTCACGGGTTATTAGCTGGGACAAAATTTAGCAAGTAGCCAAAGTTTTAACATATAATACCCTCCATTCCAGAAGTCTGGCAGGTTTTAATGTGAAGTGTCCCATCTGAACATTAAAATCAAAGGAAAAAAAAGTGTGGACACTATTATTGCTGGTGGACATTTTACTCACTGAAAATGAGAACCTACCAAGAACATTTTCAGGAGGTGTGCCAGATTGGACCCAAGGGTGGAGGAAAGCTCAGGAAAGCCTGCTTGACACCCTGCGGGGCGCTTGCTCGCTCGCCTTGGCCCATCTCTCGCGCCCTCGGTTCTTTCAGCCTCCGGGTGCCAGCTGTGAAATGGGGTTTGGGGATGGATGGGGGAACGGTTGAAGCCACGGAGACACTGAAGGAGGAAGTACAACGCCTGCTGATGAAATAATCAATGTAAAGTAAAAGGCAGCCATTTCCTTTCTGCCACAACACACGGAATGCCACGCACAAAAAACATCCCAGCATCCATGGAAAATGGTTCGTGCGATGGAAATAAACCAACATAAAATGCAGCAGTTGCGTGAGACCTTGCTTACACCAATAAGAGCAGTTAAATTTAAATTGATTAAATTTATATACCAACAATCGTAGGCAAGAAGCTGAGTTGCTTTATTTTTAGACAGATACTCTAAAAAAGACCTAATGCTGCTTCCTGAGTGAGAGGGAACTATTATTGTTACATTAGAAATCATTTCAAAAACAGACATCTCATGCCGTTAGCTAGGGCACTTCTTTAGTTGGCTCAAAGCGCTTAATTTAACTTAATGGTGGTGTTGTAGTTATTATTGACATCCACAAACTTGATTATACCAAATTATGCATGACATTCATACAGAAACATTTTATCATAAACAGCCAAGTCTGGAGGTAAGTTGATTTCCAACACCAGTGGACTGAGGGCCCCCTTCTTCCACATTCGCTCAACCCAAACATGCATCTGTACAGGGGTGGGACACCTGCAACCCTCCAGAGGTTGCCGGACTACAAATCCCGTAAGCTCAACCATGAGCTCAACCATCAGATGGGAAGCAGAGTCCATGCTCCTCTGGAGGGCCACCGAGCGCTCCCCCCCGCAAAGCCATAGTCCGAGGGACCAGGAACAGACAACGGCCAGCCTTCCAGATGTTGGACTGCCGCTCCCATCAGCCCCAGCCAGCGGCATTATGGGAGCTGGAGTCCTATAGCATCTGGAAGGTTTCCACCATCCCTGCCCTAAGAGAAAAATCCTAATAATCGGAGAGTAGGAACCTGTTGTGTCTTATCCGCCCCTCCTGCTTAACCACTTGTTTTATTTGCTCAAATGTTTTCAATCTCTTAGTATGTGTTCGGAGCTTAAGAACAGGTGGTTCATTTATTATTGTTGCAAACCGCCCAGAAGAGCGCATTGCACTAATGGGGCGGTATATCAAACAAACAAACAAACAAACGCATAGATAGATAGATAGATAGATAGATAGATAGATAGATAGATAGATAGATAGATAGATAGATAGATAGATAGATAGATAGATAGATAGATAGATAGATAGCACCCCCCCATTAAAAAGGGCGCAACAGGAGGAGATTCCTGCGCTGCCAACCTCTTCCTGCAGAGGGCGCTGGTGCCCCGCCCGCCCACTCGTCCTTCCTTCTGTTTATCCCTCCGGGCGCCTCCAGGGGGCGCCCAAGCCCTCGAAGGGGTGGGGCAGAGGGAGGGAGGGAGCGGTGCTTGCGCGAGAGAAAGC